CCCTGGGCTGTCCAGTGCCTAACCATTCCTCATGGCCCAGCTGCTCATGCCTGTGGTGGCTGGTCTACTTCATCAGGGCCTTCAGCAGAGGCTGTCCCATCTTCCTTTGAGCACCAATTTCACATCTAGCTCCAGCTGACCCATGTAAAAACTGAGGGCACAAGCACAGAGCAGGCCTATGGCCAACACGGCCCCCATGCCCACCAACTAGAAATTGCTGCCCTACACCATGCTCAAGCTGTGCAGCAGGAAGAAGCCACTGGCAGCTTCCCAACCCATGCCAAGGGTTTGGAAGTTTGCCACTCACAGGTGTGGAGGTTCCTGGCAATTGATCTGAAAAAACTTAAGTTACAATCCACACCCTGGATATTTAATTCCTGTATAAGTTTAAACAGAGCTTCCTTGCGCAACAATCAGAAAATATAACTCAGAGGGCTGGAAACTTGTCCATGATGGTATGACAAGTCTTTGTCTCTCACTTTGCCTACTTCATGGGCTGCTCCAGCTACTCCCCAAATTGTTGACTTCATCTTCATTATGTGGGCTTCTAAGTAGGTTCAGCCTTGGTTACCTGGTAGCTGCGTTTGAGGTGAAAGCTACTAACATGGAAAGACTGTGTTAACCACCTCTCTTCTTCTTCAAGATAACACTTAATTGTTTTCCTCCTTTGTAAAGATTTGGACCTCTTCCTGAGTATATTCAGGGTAATTCAGGGTGAAAGAATATAACTGGTGTTCCTTCCTTTGCCAAGAAGAGGACTTGCATATAATAGGTACAGAAGTTATCTGGACCTAACAGTGAAAAACAACCCTGTAGGTTAGGAGTCATTGCACTGTTCAGCCTAGATAGTAGTCTAAATAAACTCAGATGCTCTTTTAGGAGAATTTATGACAAATAACCAGAAAAAAAATTGGATGCTGCTAAAAATGGACTTCTATCTAATTTTTATATTTTTATGAATTTAGAAATACAAGGATTTAGAAACTGTTTTTTTCCAACTGGCACATCACAGTGCAAATTGTTTTAATGCTTTAAATGCTGAGTCTGATCTCATGGACTTCTTAGTAACAAGAAGAAATCATACTATTTGATATAATGCAGGTAATAATAATTAGACAACCAGATGTAAGCATTACATGCCATGTCTTAAGCATAGGACCCTCCAAACTTTCTTAGTAAAAGAGCTCATACTTCTTTGAGTTAATAATATCCAATATATTCTATTAACCACCACACTGTGACAATTATGATTATGTCACAAACAATATTATTCTTGAATAGTCAGTGAAGATGAAATATGTGCCATCCTTGATAAAGGAGTGTTATATTTACATTCAGGTAATACGGATTTATATAGGTTGCAGTAAAGAAAAAAAAAAGAAGCTGAATATATCTACCAAATTACATTAGAATAGATATTGACAACTATGTCTGTAGCTGAAACTTTTTTTTTAAAGTAGACTCCATGCCTAGTGTGGAGCCAAGTGAGGGCCCCAAACTCATGACCTTGAGATCAAGACCTGAGCTGAGATCAAGAGTTGGACCCTTAACCAACTGAGCCAACTAGACACCCCTAAGGCTGAAAATTTTTAAGAAGATTGGAAAGAAATATTACTCACAACAACTGAATACTACAACTACTACTGATTTACCAATATGAAGCAGTCATGCTGATTATTGATAAAGTATTGTTTAAACAGGGTTGCTAAAGAATATGGACAAGTAATACATATATGTACATACATTAATACATAAAAGATAATGGAAAAATATAACCTCAGAAAAGAAAAATTTTGGAACAAACAAATTCAAGCTAGAGGAATATTCATGTTTGTATATAATAAGTCTCCAAAGAACACAAGAGAAAAAGCTCATAATCTCTTAACGAAAAAAATGTTAACTGCTTAGATAACATTTCTTAAACATCTGAAACTGATAGAGCCAACAGGCTAAGAGGTTAGAGTGGTTGATATTTGAACACAGCAGATGTGCAAAACTATGCAATTCTATCAAACTCTTTAAAAAAATATTGAATCTTTGCTAAGAAATTCACAAGAATTGCAAAAAGTCTCAGATGCACTAGTGTTCTTTAGTGTTGCTAAGGAAAATTGTGGCAATCAACTAATTAATAAGGTATTCAAAGTGAAGAGAATTAGATGTAAACTGTTGTGCTAATTAAAAGTGAAAGCACTCAATCAAGTTTGTGGGTGGACCCTTCTTGGTTCTGGCAATACCAATGGGAAGGAAAATTACATAAGGAAGTGGAAATTTTTACCTCAGATGGCAATGAAAGTAACCTTAAAAACAATAGGTGGAAGGTTTTAATATGATCTCATTAATATTTTTGTTTGAAAATTATGGAAACTTTGAATAGAAAATGGCTTTACAAGATTAAAGTCTCACTAAATGAAGTTTTTGGAATCCATCTTCCTTCTTGGTTCTTTTCCACATGGTACTGAACTCTGGGTTTTAACCTCAGATTTGAAATTTACTGACTGAATTATCTTGGGTTAGTACAATCTTTCCAAATTTTTCTTGCTTAACTTTATAAACAGAGAATGTTACCTCATGGAGACACTCTGAGAATTAAATGGCATAATGTGGGGAAAATATCTCACATTTAGTACGTGATCAGTGATTAATAATAGTTACGTTTAATGACTGCTGATGACTTGCTTTATTTTCATAGGTATCAGAACACCTCTCTAAGGTAGGATGTTTTGTTATTGTTACTGTTTTTTTTTTGTTTGTTTTATATTTTGTATCAGAGGAAAAAAATTCAGGGTCAGGAAGATTAAATAAGATCCCAAATCACACAGGTAGTCAGTGATAGATGATGGATTTAAGATCTGTCTGACTCAAAAAATCTGTGTATTTTTACTATTATGCTATATTGTGCTCCGCACATAAAACAAAAACAAAACCAGAAATTTTCCCAAATACAGCATGATCTATTGACAGTAACAAGGCCAACATGTGAGTATCTGCCAGGAGTCTGTTAAAAGGAGGAAGTGCCCCAAATTCTTTACTTCCCCATTACCATCCTGCAACAATGAACTTTGGCTGCCCTGTGAGGCTGTGTTCCCTTAAATCTTATTTTTGCATGCAAATGTCAGCACCAGAGAACCCAGAGGGAAACTGAACAAAGATAAGAGGTTCTACTATGATTTCCCGAAATCCTTGAACCAAGCATCACTTTGTTTGAAGGAATTAAGATTTCTTTCTGCTATTCAAGGAGATTATTTTTGGTCTTAATATTTCTAAATGTCCCTGTACAAGCTGTAACATAAAGAAGAAAAATTCTTACTGCTACCTTTGATTTCAACCATGTTTGCCAGAATTTCAAATTGTTTGAGTAAAAGATACATTGATTTTGGCACAGTCACACTCATATCTCCTAAAATGACCTCATGCTATCAGATTTACTGGCATAACAATGCCAGTATGTTCTGCAGAACTTCTCTGTAAAGAGTTAATTCTGCACGTGTATCTCCAAAAAAGGCCTTGTGCTATCAAATTTACTGGCATAAATATTCCTTGATGTTTATTTTTTTCCTCCCTTTGGTGGTACACACACTTACACACACCCCACAGTATATCTCTGTAATGATTTAATTCCCCTGTGGATGAATTTTTTTACAATTAAATCTCAGACACATTCCCAGAAGTTAGTTGTAAGCTTTGTTTCTTTAACCTTCTGCTGACCCTGACGAGGAGTGGCAGCTCCCATTTTTCAATCTCTCGCCTTACTTTCAGTCCTGTTTCAAGCCTGAAGTAAAAGTTCTCCTAAGAATTCTCCTTTCTTTATAAATGGGAAAGAGAAAGAGGTACATTTAGTCTGTAGATATTGTAAGCTAAACAGCAATAGGAAATAGAAAAATATCTAGATCATTGCTGAGAAAATGAATTATGCAGCTGCCAGTGAAGGACTGATAGAAAATCTAAGATCTTTTCAGAGAAAAATGTGAAAAATGTGAAATTTGAGCTATAGGGAGTGATGCTTATGAAGAGAGTTCTTAACTATTTAAGGATATTACTCAACTGTGTGATTCTTCTCAGGCACTCCAAACTTTGGGAAATAGAGGATTCTAATGTTTTCTGAACCCAGAACTGTGCCTTTTTGGGGACAAAATTAAAAGAGAAGAAAAAGTATTCTAAAGACAAATGTGAGAAGCAATAGGTAAGGATACTGAGAACAGCACTGAACCACATTGGCATACCGGGATGATTCAAGCTTCAGCTGAGGAGGGAGGGAGAGTCAGGAAGATCCAATCACACCTACTCCTAAACTCTTAAGTTTCCAAAAGTCTGGAATCAACTTTGTGCAGCCACAGTACTTTTGGATTTATACCATTTTCTTTATTAAAATAGTCTGGAGGCAAGTATTTATGTATGGCAAGATAAGGCAGAGAAAAGCGTAAGGAGAAAAAATTGCCACAAGGCAGACAGCAAGAAATAAATAATAAGAATAAAACAATATTTTAAGGACAGTGTCAAAATGAAGAATAGTAGCAAACCTAACGAGCTTTTGAATTTACTCATTTAGGATGCCAATTCTTATTGTTCAAAAATGGTTTATTTTTTGAGCAGATGATTTTGAAGGGATTGCCCCTCTCAGTTCTTTATTTGCCCCCCCTTATTTGAAGCCACCGGTAAACAATTGTGAGTAGGTTTGTTTTGGATAATCATTAGGAGTATAAAGTAGAATTATCAACTTGTTTTATAAAGTTTTGTGGTGGGGGATGGAAACTTACTATAAAGACTATTATAATCAATTTTAGCAATTTATTAATTGTTCTCTAAATCATCCAAAGGAAATCAAAGTGGAACTATAAGCTAGTAGCAACTGTAATTATCAACTTTTACTACTGTCAGCACTAAATAACAAACCAACCTAATCCTTTATTTTATAGAAATAAAATCCAGTTCTCCATGATTCCCAAGATCTTATTTTACCAAACCTGACAAAAAATGTACAACAATATTAGTTTTATTCTTACCGTGTAATCTTGTTTTGATTTCTCCTCTGAAAAGCTGCAGCTCTGTGTTTGGAGAGCTTGCAGATTCTATTTATTACCCAAAGTTTGGCAGAGAACCAAATCGCTGTAAGAAGGAGATCTGAGTGGATGAGATTTTGGCAGATTTTAACTGCATGCAAAAAGCCAATAGAGCTACAATCCTGTCAACATTCAAGATTCCCTACTTTCTGTCTTATCCCCATCTCCATCTTAAAATTTAATTCAACAATTATGGATTTTTGGGTGCCTGGGTGGTCCAGTCATTAAGTGTATGCCTTTGGCTCAGGTCCTGGGATCAAACCCAAGAGCACTGCATAGGGCTCCCTGCTCAACAGGAGGCCTGCTTCTCCCACTCCCCCTCCCCATACTTGTGTTCCCTTTCTTACTGTCTCTCTCACTCTTTGTGTCAAATACATAAAATAAAATCTTTTAAAAACATTATGGGTTTATTTATTTTTTTATTTCCAACTCACATCAGAATTATCTTATATGCAACCCCCACTCCCATCTCCAACTCACAATCCTCCTCTGCCTCTGCCCCCACATATTGGCTCTGTTCAGAGTTGAAGTTCACCTTTAGCACTGTTCATATGGAAATTCTTGGAGGGCGTTTTAAGGTGATAGTGAGAAGTTCCTGAACTTACTTCTCCCATGAACACTCCAAATCTACAGCTGCCTATGAATCGATTCCCTCTGAAAAAGATCTGAAAATTAGATGAACTGCTCTCCACAACAAAGAACAACAACAAAGGATACAACAAAGATAAAAGAACCACATCAAGATGGGTAGGAGAGGCAGAGACACAATCTCAAAAAATGCCAACACCCAGCATGAAGGATGTCACCAGATAGGAGCTTTTCCCAGAGGAGTGAGGGTATCCCATATTGGATGCCCAGCCTGTGGAATCTGCACTGGAAAGACAAGCCCCCAGAAATCTGGTTTAGAAAAACCAATGTGCCTGATTGCATTCTGGAGAATGCAATAAGAAACTGAGATTCTCTTCTCGGAGAGTTCACATATAGTCTTACTTGCCCCAAGACCCAGTGAAAAAACAGCAGTTTGAAAAGAACCAATACTATATGAGGGACATTCATTTATTGATCTGGAAGCATTGGCCGGAGGGGCAGGGAACAGCTGAAGTGTTTCCTAGAGATGGAGATGCTGGTGGACACAACTGTTCTCCTCTTACACAGTCTGTAAGAACATGCAGGTGAGCTCAGATGCAGCACCTTCTCACCACCCTCATACCCCCATTTGCAGTGATGGGGGTAAGCAAGAAAGAAGTTACAGCATGTGCTGAGGCAGAGAGCACAGGTAGTTGTAGAGCTCCCTCACTTTCTGGCTGGGGTGGGCAAGAGCAAGTAGTTATCACATTCCAGCTTTTAGCTCAAAACTGGTGTGTGTGCACAGACGAGGTACTCTTGCATGGCACTGCTGAAAGCTGTGGGGGCGTGCAGTGAAGACATTTGCTCACTGCATTTCTGAAGCTGGTGAGTGTGGCCCACCTGTATACTCTCTAGCTTCCTTGCCCAAATCAGTGGGTATACACAATCCACACAAGAGACATTCCTTGATTGCCTGGCCCTGGTGGCCAAGACTATAACAATTGGAAAGACAGCTTTTGGCAGGTCATCAACCCCAAGGCACTGCACAGACATCAGACTTAAACACAGCTCCAGTCTTCCTATGAGAAAATGTCCACTTATTTAGCTTGGAGTTTCAGCCTGAGGGACAGGCTTTAGGTATCCCACACACCTAGATGGTAAGGAGAGCATCCAGGAATATAAGCAGGTTTACATCATCATTGCACTCTCCCTTGGCCTTGCTAGAGGTTGATGAGACTTCCCGGAAAGGAGCTTATACACTCTCCTAGAGCCCCAATTATTGCAACTATCACCCAGGGGACACTTTCATATCTCCTGGTCTGGAGGTCAGCAGAGATTATGATTGAGACTCTAGACCTATATATTTACATACTTTAAAAACTGCTGCCTGATAGTGTGGTTTCTGGTCAGCCCAAAACTAGGTGCTAAATGAGATTCTTCCCTTTGAATCACTGACAGGTCATAGCACACTCTCAGCAATGTGGGAATATCAAGAATAAATCGGCTATTTAGACAAACACAAAGGTTTAAGAGAGAACCAAGAGGTAGGGTGAGGTTGAATGAGGTCATCATCTATACAAATCTTCAAGACTGAGAGACATAGCTCTTTCACATAATACATAGAAATAAAAAGAGAGTCAAGCAAAATGAGAAAACACAAATATGTTCCAAACAAAAGAAATAGGACCTAAATAATATGGAGATAAGTAATGTACCTGATAAGGAATTCAAAGTAATGATCATAAATATGCTCACTGAACTTGGAAGAGGAAATGAAGAACACAACAAGAACTTCAACAAAGATGTAGAAACTTAAGAAAATACCAAAAAGTAGTCACAGAGTTTAAGAATGCAATAACTGAACTTAAAAATATACTAGTGGGGCTTGACAGCAGACTTGATGAAACAGAAGTAGATCAATAAACTAGAAGATCAAGCAATGGAATTTATGCAGAAAAACAATGGTGGGATGCCTCAGTGGCTCAGGTTAAATGTCTGCTTTTGACTTGGATCATGATCCCGGCATCTTGGGATTGAGTCCCGCATTAGGCTCATTGCTCAGTGGAGAGCATGTTTCTGGAGTCCCAGGAGAAAAGAGAAAGGGACAGAAAACTTATTTGCAGAAATAGTGGCTGAAAACTTTCTTAACCTAGGAAAGGAAACAGACATTCAAATCAAGGATTTGAACCACTCCTTAAAGATCTGGAGAATCAATAAAATTTAAACCTAACCCATGCACCAGAAGAGAAATAAGTAAGATTACAGCAGAGATCAGTGAGTTAGAAACCAGAAATACAGTAGAACACATCAACAAAACTAGAAGCTGGTTCTTTGAAGAATTAATAATATTGATAAACCACTGGCCAAAATAATCTAAGAGAAAAGAGAGAGGACTCAAATTAATAAAATTGTGAATAAAAGGGGAGAGATCACGATTAACATCAAGGAAATAGAAACAATCATCAGAAATTATTATCAGCAGCCATATCCTAATAAGTTAAGCAACCTAGAAGAAATGGATGCATTCCTGGAAACCTATAAACTTCCAAACTGAAACAGGAAGAAATTGACAACCTGAATAGACCAATAACTAGTAATGAGATTGAAGCAGTGATCAAAAACCTCCCCAAAAACAAGAGCCCAGGACCTGACGGATTCCCTGGAGAATGCTACAAAATATTCAAAGAAGAAATACTTATTCTCCTGAACCTGTTTAAAAAGTAGAAACAGAAGGAAAACTTCCAGACTCTTTCTATGAGGCCAGCATTACCTTGATCCACAAACCAGGCAAAGACCCCACCAAAAAGGAGAATTTCAGAGCAATATCCCAGATGAATATGGGATTCTCAACAGGATCCTAGTTAATAGGATACAACAGTGCATTAAAAGGATTATATACCACAATCAGATGGGATTTATCCCTGGGATCTCAGGGTAGTTCAACATTCACAAATCAATCAATGTGATAGAACACATAAATAAGAGAAGAAACAAGAACCACTTGGTCCTGTCAATTGATGCATAAAAAGCATTTGACAAATGCAGCATCCTTTCCTGATTAAAACTCTTTAGAGAATAAGGATAGAGGGAACACTCCTCAACTTCATAAAATACATCTATGAAAAACCCACAGCAAATATTCTCAATGGAGAAAAGCTGAGAGTCTTTCCCTTGAGGAACATGACAAGGATGCAAATATTCTCAATATTTGCAAATATTCTCAATGGAGAAAAGCTGAGAGCTTTTCCCTTGAGGAACATAACAAGGATGTCTACTCCACCACTATTATTCAACATTGTACTAGACGTCCTAGCAACAGCAATCAGAAAACAAAAAGAAATAGAACGTATTCAAATTGGCAAAGAAGAAGTCAAACTCTCTCTCTTCAAAGATGACATAATACTTTATGTGGAAAACCCAAAAGACTCCACCCTCAAATTACCAGAATTCATAGAGCAATTCAGTAATGTGGCAGGATAGAAAATCAATGCACAAAAATCAGTTGCTTTCTTATTACACTAACATTGAAACTGTAGAAAGGGAAATTAGAGAATTGATTCCATTTACAATAGCACCAAAAAATCAGAAGATAGCTTGCAAGAGGTAAAGGGTCTATACTTGAGGAACTACAGAAAACTCATGAAAAAATTGAAAAAGGCACAAAAATATAGAAAACATTCCATGCTCATGGATCAGAAGAATGAATAGTGTTAAACTGTCTATTCTGCTCAGAGCAATCTATACTTTCATGCCATTCTGTTCAAAATACCAGTGGCATTCTTCAAAGTGCTCTAACAAACATTCCTAAAATATGTATGGAACTGGAAATGTTGAAATTGCTAAGGAAATGTTGAAAAAGAAAAATAAAGTTTGCCTAATTTCAAGTTTTATTACAAAGCTGTGATCACCAAGACAACATGGTACTGGCACAAAAACAGACACACAGAACAATGGAATGGAGTAGAGAGTCCAGCTATGGACCCTCAACTCTGTGGTCAAATAATCTTTGAGAAAGCAGGAAAACATATCCAATGGAAAAAAGATAGTCTCTTCAATAAATGGTGTTAGGAAAACAGGGGCAGCTACCTATAGAAGAATGATACTTGACCATTCTCTTACACTATACACAAAGATAAACTCAAAATGGATAAAAGACCTCAACATGAAGCAGGAATCTATCAAAATCCTAGAGGAGAACATAGGCAGTAACCTCTTTGACATTGCCCACAGAAACTTCTTTCAAGACACATCTCCAAAGGCAAAGGAAACAAAAGTGAAAATTAACTTTTGGGACTTCATCAAGACAAAAAGTCTCCTGCGCAGCAAAGGAAACAGTCAACAAAACAAAGAAGCAACCCAAGGAATGGGAGAAGATATTTCCAAATAACAGTACAGACAAAGGGCTGATATCCAGAATCTATAAAGAACTTCTCAAACTCAACACCCCAAAAAACAGATAAT